ATGACCTCCTGCCGAGAGACAAAAACAAAGTTAAGACTCAGGTTGACAAAAACTAGGTTTGACTCAGAAAAACTCAGCTTGGCTAGAGAATCAAAAACAAAAACCCAGGTTAGTCTCTGCTAAGCTAAGCATGGCTAGAGTGCCCAGTATTGGCAAACACTCTGGCGTCGAGGTAGTGGCAGTCAGCAGCTTAAGAACACTCCACAGGTAATGAGGCAATGAGCTGCAGGTGTGCAGGGAGACCCAATGAGGACGGGGCACCACCTGGTGGAGGAGGAAAGGAAACACAAAAACTGGATTCCTGACAGACTGAAGCTAAAGGATGTTACTTGCAGATTTATTTTTCAAAAAGGTTCAACAGAAGCAAAAATACAAAAACATAAATCCACACAATCCAAAAATGGTGAAAACCAGGAATACCCAGAACAAGAAGGGGGTAAAGAAATGACAACAAACCAGCAACAGTGACTGAGCAGGAGGTGCATATATGGGAGAGAGAAACCAAGAGCAGGCTAATCTGCTCATGTGCTGAGAACACGTGTGAACATAGGAGTCTACAAAAGAGCTAGGGAAAGTAGACCGACACAAGAGGGCAAACAAGAAATACCTAAGAACTCAAATACAATCAAAAATAACTAGTATAACACGAAATGGAAATAAAACCAATAAAACTAGAAAACAAAGAAAAACACGACTTAAAGTGAGACTGAAAACTCAAAAAGAAAACTGAATCAGAACCAAAACTGTGACAAATACATGATTTTGAACAATGTGTTCTGTGGATACAAAAAGATGCACACCACACTTTAAACATTATTAATTAAGAAAGCATTTGAACCATTATATATTTGTTTGAAAAGTATTGTATGTATTTATTTACATATCTTAAAAGATATGTAATCCATCATTCACCATGACCTGACAATGACTGAAAAGAACAAGGGGGAAAAAAACGGATTATTTGCGCCCACACAGTACCACAACTGCTCAACTATGGATACTGCAGGCATAGATGGAATGCTGTTGGCCAGCCTCATTCATTACTCATCAATCATCTCGTTATCTCAAGAAATCAATAACTGTTTTCTCATGATAATGAGACAATTATCTTGTTATCTTGAGAAAACAATTAATGGTTTAACCGTGATAACGAGATAGTTATGTTGTTTTCTCGAGAAGTCAAAGGAAAAAAAAAAGTCGAGTACGACAGCTCCAGGCTTCTGTACAATATTACACCCTGGTACTCCAATTATTTTTCAGGGTTCTAAGATCAGGCCAGTTTTCTGGCAAACTGAACGCAGAAATAACTAGTATTTGGTACCTTAGTTAGTGTGGACATGAGAAATGTCCTGACATGAGAAATGTTTACCGTACTTCTGTGTGAAGTTCTTCTAGGTTTTTTTTTTTTTTTGCAGTTTCATGTTGTATTATAAATTCACTGTAAGCAACAAAACAAAAACAAAATCTAAAAAAATAAAATCTAAATTTTAATTTATGCCAATCCCCATTATTGTAATCTTGTAAACCTCTGACCTCAGCTGTTTGCTAGTCATGACTGCCCTCCTCTTTGTTTTTTTATATGCCAATCTATGATAGAGCTCAATTTCTACGTCTCCATTATGCAAATATAAACAAATCCTTAAAATCTTTCTAAATACATGTTTTGTCAGTAATGTCAAAATGTGAAGCAGCCAAAAAAAAAAAAAAAGCTATAATAAAGTAAAACAAACGAAAAAGATGGTAGACATCTTTTGTATATTACCAGAAAATCCCCCAACTGTGTAGGGAGATGATTTATTTAGCGAGTAGATAGCTGTCAAAGTAAGGCCTTAGAGTAAGAGAGTGACTTAACATAAGGCAGGAATTAAACATTATATGAATCAGTAATATCCCATCACCCTTTTGGTTGAAACATTGAGCAGGTCTGAGTCAGAGCTGAAATGTTCTCAGGATTTGCCCTGTTTAAATGCATTAATTCATAATATTTTTAAATGCGTTTAAGTTTATGCAGAGTGCCTTTAGTAATCCAGTCCCTCTTGAGTCAACATGTCTCGCCAGAGTGCTCTGGATTAAATTTATAAAGGCTGCCAAATAGTGATCCTCATAAGATTGGTAAATACATCTGTTTGTTTTGATCACAGCTGGAGAACAGTAGGAATAGATACACTGCACTGCAGATTCAATGACTGCATTGAAAACTAGTCTATACCTGAATGAATCCAGCCCCACTTGACTGACAAAAAGAATGCTCTTTACCACGGTCATGTTTTTGTAAAAAAAAAAAAAACTTTATGATAAAACACCGGCTTTGATCTGAGATCCTGTCAGACCTAACATAACCAACAGATAAATCTTCAATCCACAAAACTGTGAAGCAGTGACATGGCCCAGAGGAGCCACATTCACCATTTTTATAGCTTTCATTCTGCAGTAAAGCTTTTACTCCTTTGTATGTAGACACAAAACGGGAAAATACGGGGAGCACATGTTCTGGTTATGGTGACCTCATCTGAGGCCAACATTCAAAGTACAGGAAGTGGCAAACACTGACAAAAGACCAGGGTCAGCTCGGTCTCAAGGAAATGGCTAAGACGTGTGGGGCCCTCTCAACACTGCATTCGGCGGTGGTGCCACATAATGGGTTTAAATGACTTGGTGGTACTGTAATTCAACATGACTGGAAAGGTAATGAGAAACATTGTTGTTCTGGAGAAGGCTAAAGATAAGACAGTATAAAAGCTTACATATTTCTCTTTATAAATGTTTGGCTGTAGGGCATTAAAAGCAGCAAATATTTACATGCTATTTGGCTCTAATATAACACTAAGATTTGAGGGTTGACCTTTTCTTCTCTGGTTTTATTTGAATTTTCAGCCTTGGGCTTGTTGGAGCTGGTAGTGAGGGTAATTTTTGTGGTCTAAAAGTGCTACAATTTTGTCTAAAGTCGGTCTCCTTTCAGAACCCCTCCCACGCATGGCTCATAAAAACTCTCCTTCAGTTTATGAGGTTACAGCCTGAGTGTCGATGGTTTTTATGAGGCATATCTTTCCGAGGCAAATAAGCTTAGCTTTTTTATCCTGTTTCTTCCCGTTTTCATAAGAACAAGGTAAAAAGGCTTTCAAAACATGTTACTACCACAAAACTCCACAACCCCTTGTAAAGTATTCATACTACCTCAACATTTTGTTATGTGGCAACCATATAACTTTTCCTACTTCATTAACATTGTATGTGTTAGCCCAGCTTTAAACAGTCCATAATAGTTAAAAGGATTGGAATCTATGGGTGTTTTTTTAAAACGGAAATAAAAATATAGCCTGAATTTGTAATCATCCATCCATTCCATTTTGCGTCACATTTATCCCAAGCAGGGTTGCGAGGGGTGCGGGTGCCTATCTCCAGCAAAACAACCATTCATGCACACACTCACACCTAAGGAGAATTAAGAGAAGCCAATTAACCTAACAGCCTTGTTTTTGGACTGTGGGAGGAAGCTGGAGTACCCAGAAAGAACCCACGCATGCTCAGGGAGAACATGCAAACTCTAAGCAGAAAGAGCCGTGAATCAAACCCTGAACTTTCTTGCTGCAAGGCAGCAGTGCTGCCAACTGTTCCACTGAGCAGCTGCATTCATAATTAACCACACTAAATCAATATGTTGTAGGGCTACCTTTGTTAGATATTAGCTTTGATTGTCTGGAGATTGAATTGCCTCTCAGACTGGAAAACCTGCATCTCTGAATATCATTTTCTAACCGTTTTTGCTTTCTTCACACAGATAAAAATACACAAATAAGGTCTGATCTATAACATTCATTTATAGCTGTATGTGTAGGGTTACTTCTGCCTGAAACTTTGACAGATTTTCCCAACTGAGCTGCTTCTATGTTTAATGATCCCCCTGCCCAACGTGACACTTCAGATGGGTAGCCTTGTACTGGCAGGTCGGAAGATTAGAAGCATTCTTTCCATTTTAAAATGATGGACAGTGTTTATGAATATGTCCTAAGCTTCTGATGTTCTTTATAATCCTTGCCTTTTCTCATGAGCAGTTTTGGTCTCTGTTGTTCTCTAACAACCCTGAGACCACAGAAAAACTGCAGTTCTAAGTACTCTAGATTTATTATTAATGTTTATAAAATTCTGAATAATAAAAATGTATTATTATTATTATTTCCACACAGTTGGAATCTATCTAGATTACTTCTAATTGTACTTTCTGAATTTTGTTTAAGGAAATTGTAGGAAGATGGTGAATGTATTGGTGTTCTTACTCAAAAAACACAATAAAATACAAATAGTTTTATGTTGTGGTATAAAATGATTTGAAAACCATTCACGTGATATAAAATCCTCCATGAAGAACTGAAGTAATGGGTTTTGATCTTTTTTAATCCCGAATTAAAGTGTGTATATTCTAACATCATAGCAAGAAGATTCCAATAGGATTCAATGGTAACTTAAACATTTCTTATAATTAAACAAATGTTATTATAGCATGTTTGCCCTTGATGGCAGATCACACAGAGTTAGTTTTCCATCTAAAACAACAGGACACCCAGGGAAAGTGAAGGATAGTAGATTTGGTGATTGCTTTGCAAGGACTCCTATCTGGCCGTATGCCTCGAAGTGCATTCTTCCAGGCTTTGACAGATGATGCCGATACAGTGAAGTGATAGGCTATTATTTCACTTTGCATTGAAAAATTGGCATTGCAGGCTTCTGCCCTTCCCTTTTATAACTGCCATAGTTTTCTTGCTCGTAGCAGGATTATGCCACCACAGATGTGATTTGAAAGGTGTTATAAAATTCCTGAGGTTTTGTCCTTACAGCCTGTGGATTTCATGTCCACAGTTATGGACTTTTCGGTGGTGCCCACTGGTTGAAATGAGGAAAAGTTGTTGATAATGCTCAATGTATACGTGATAAGATCCCATTGTTCTGCTGTGAATAAATGTTTTTTACTCATTTCCTTTGTTTTCTATCTCCTTCTTTCACAGACCAGCAGTATTCGTGGTCACCATCACAGTATTTCGATGAGGACACTTACTCCCCTCTACCCAGGAACATGAAGGGTCTCTCTGGTGGCCGCCCTGCCCATCTCCAGCTTACGTCACCTACTTCACCTCATGCATGTGGTTTGGCCGAATGTGACCACTCGCTGGATCACCATCTTCACCATGGAGACCCGCGGTCACCCACCTACCTCCTTAGCCCCACTGACAGTTGTGCCCTTGAGAGTCATCACCGCTGCTCCCCCCGGAGCTCCATCCACTCTGAATGCATGATGATGCCGGTGTCCCTATCAACCACTGATCACTCAATATCCAGTAGCACTTTTCCTCGTATGCATTATGGCAGTGCTTCAAGAGATGGAGGTGGAAACAGTTCTGGTGGTAGGGATTCTCGGGATGACGGTGGCTCCTCCTCACATGGTGGCAGTGGCAAAATGAACAGGATCCCTGCAAATCTTTTGGATCAGTTTGAAAAGCAAATACCACTGCACAGAGATGGCTTCCACACTTTGCAGTACCAACGAACCTCCACAACAACTACAACTACTGAACATCGCAATGAAAGCCCCGGCCGAATTCGCCACTTAGTTCACTCAGTACAGAAACTTTTCACAAAGTCCCACTCCTTAGAGGGATCTTCCAAGATGAATGGTACCAAAAGTGACTCACACAGGGATGGCTCGCACCACCACCATCACCACCACCAAGGCCACCACAAACACAGCAAACGCAGCAAGAGCAAAGACCGTAAATCTGATGGTGGAGGAAAGCAGCGTCATGCGGGTTGGTGGAGTTCGGACGACAATCTCGATAGTGACAGCACCTACAGGACACCGAGCATCATGTCACGGCATCCTATTGACCACATCAGCCACTGTTACCCAGATTCAATGCACAGTCACATGGCGGGGGACCTGTCGCTAAAGACTTCCAAGAGCAACAACGACGTCAAATGCTCAGCCTGCGAGAGCATTAGCATGGCCCCTGAGGGCAAATTCATGAAAAGGAGCTCCTGGTCAACATTAACCGTCAGCCAAGCCAAGGAAGCCTACAGGAAGTCATCACTCAACCTGGAGAAGCCTATGACACCCACTGACCTTAAACCCAGCTTGAGACCCTGTCACTATCTACAGGTAAGTTTGATCCACTTTACCGCCCCATTGCTGTTTTCCTCTAGATATGTAGTACCTATAACAATGTAACACCTCTACTCAAGCATTACAGTTGATTTTATTTTTGCAGACATAACATTTATTGTTCTTGGTAAACCTTTGATTTGGTAGACTAAACAAACATGGTGCCATTCACTGTGATTGGTGTGACTACTATAGAATAGCAGCATGGACAATAAAGATGTAAAAACTGAGGTATCCTGAGAAATCTCCAGCTTAATCTGTCAGGGTAATGGTGGAGCTGGTGCCTATCTACAGCAGCCCATGGGTGAAATGTGTGGTACACTCTGGACAGGACACCAACCAATCACAGGACAACACAAAGTCACACAACCATACACACAGTCACTCTTAGGGACAATTTAGAGATGTTCAGTTAACCTAACAATCACAGGAATCAAACCTTTTTGCTAAAAGGAAATGGTGCTACAAACTATCCCACTCCGCAGGCAAATTGAGACAAGCTTTGTAAATGAATCTGGAAAAAGGAAAACTTCAACTTCAGAACTAAAGAACATAAAAAAAATATGATAAAAGTTTGTTTAGACTGATTTTACAAAAATATAGAAAGTGATTCATTTCTTTAAACTAAATCAAATATGTTATTTAAGATTTGTCAGATTAATTAGGAATAAACATGAAGAGGAGCATATTACACATTAGATTATTTATGAGTCCCTCATAGATAATATAAGTTTTAACTTCTAACTGCTTCAGAGTACGTATAAACTATTTATTTTGCTAATAGGTAATACAACTATTAAATGGCAGCTTTTAAAAGGTCAATATCTGTGCAGGTCTAGCTTGTAATAAAATTGAACACTACTAAAATATTGAGCTGTTTTTAGTGACCTCCCAGTTTCTCCTCCATAGTAATGGTTTGAGCTCCGCTTATAAATAATTACGGCTCAACACAGAAACGCATACTGCAAATGGATGTGGTCTAGATGTAGCATCATATACTTCCTGTTTTTCTTTTTTTAACCTCTCTAAACTGACATTTTAAGATGTTTTTTTTTATTTTGCTGGTTCATTATTCTTATTCTTATTTTTCTGGTGTGAATGGCATTGCCCTGTTTTTAAAAAAGTAACTGAAGAAAATATGGTTATCTTTCTCTCTGCGTCAGAGAGTGCATTTGTATACACACCAATTGTGTGTATGTACATCAAGTGTCTCAGAAACCTTTTACGGATCACTTTATTGAGAAAAAGAAAAGAAAAAAATTATTTTCTTAGCCGCATTGAAATTTGTTCTAGATAGTCCAATGTGATCCTGTCCAATAACACAGCATGTGTTATCTTGACCACAGGGAAGATCAAAACAGCACCTATCAGTGTACATTTGTACCTTTGTTCTTGCATGGATTACAGTTATGAGCATAATTATACAGCTCATACCCTGCATGTAGGTGTGTGGAAGTAAATGCAGAAGGAGTCAGCACATTTTCCAGCAGTATCACGACTTACATATTTTTTCATAACTCAAATTTTAAACTTTAAGTTTGCAAAATGTCTGCAGACAAAATAATTCCTTGAGTGAAATAAGAAAAGACCCCATTCTATAGCTAGAGGGTATGATCTGCAAAGTCAAAACTCTATGAACCATGGCATATATATTATTATAATTCAAAATCCATTATTCTGAAACAGAAACATTAAGTACTTTTTAATCCAATTTGTAAAAAATTATACTCAGTATAATCCAACTCTTGAACAGAGTTGCCATTCTACCTTCCTTACTTACTTCCATCCATTTGTTTATCCAGCTAAAGTATTGTCCAAGTTGCAGCACTATAAAAACATTTCTAAAAATAAACCTTAGCTCTTGCTCCTTGCCGCAGGGCTATATTTAGCTTAACATTATCAATCCAATCCACAAAGGTTGAGACACATTTTCCCTCCCTGGAGGAGAATCAATGCCCACTCAGGGACCTCTCACAGAAGATGTATTGAACCAGAAGGCAGTTAGAGATGCATACTGCTGAGGTTTGTGCCTCTCTGATGCTCATATACTCCAGAATGCAAAAGGAGGCAGAAAAGAAGCAAATGAGTTGTCAGTTTTTGCTCCCTTTTGTTTACCGTTGATCTTTAAAATAGAGCACTGCTTAAAGAGGAGACTGATATCCTGGGAAGTCGCTGCACAAAACTGAGGGGTCACATTGAGAAGTATTCATGTCCTGCTGTCATCATATTGGGATTACCCTCAGCTGTCTAAACTTTATCAACATGAATTGCACTCAGAGGATGTGTGTACTAAATGCTTGTCCCTGTGTTAGTGAGTGAGCAAGTGTTATTTCTTTTTATTGCACACCAGATGGCTTGATGATATGCTAGTCACCTTGTTTGCGTCCTTGGCTGATGACACATAAATGAAAAACTTCTGAAGTGGTACCAGAGTATGAGATTGCAACATAGAGAGGTGACATACCGAGGGTTAGGGTTTGTGCATATGTTTTGAAAAGTAAAAGTGCCTTTGAAGGTGCTACGGAAAAGAAAAATACAGTGCAGGTACTTTATCCTTATTTTTTCAGCTTATAATTAGACTTTTAAACCAATTAGTCACAGTGGGAAAAAGATGCTTATATGAACTAGAAATACTGAAAAAAAAAAATTGTCTGCAGAATATCGTTTTCCTTTTGAACAACTGCAAGGTTCAGTTGAGCTTAAAGGTGTCGGTTTTGAAGCATGCTTGTTAGCACCGTCTAACTCCATGTTGATCAATTGTTTCACTCACTGCGAACTGTGAAACTGGTGTTCCAGCATTTGTCATTTCAGGGCAGTCTAGTGGGTTGTTTCTAAAATTCCTGATTAATTTCCTTGTTGATACCAAGGAACAATTGGGCTTTAGAGCAGGATCATCATCCTAAAGATATATTAAAACTGATTTTACAGTAGATAAAATGAGCACTAAGCCTTTACACTGGCCCCGGACATAACCCCATTAAAAATGCTGGGGATGTGCTTTAAAATATGTGAAGTTGCATGAATATTAAGCCTTTTAACACGTTAGGTTAAAAATGAAATATGTTTTATATAATTTTCCACACTGATAATTTTCTGTGCATCTTCACATTTCACTGGATTTTAATAAACGAAATGAAGTAAAAATAAAAAAAAAATCCAAAACGTTTTTGCAGACAAATCTTATCCCCTGGTCATTAGTTGCTTGCACAAAAGAGGGTCCGTTTATTGCTGCTTCAGAAAGAGAGGATTAGACTTGCAATAGTTTTGCTGATAGCGCTTTATACTGAGATTTAATTAGCCAATTAACTGCCAAGTTAATTTGCCAAAGGTGAAATGCTAGAGTGATATAAAATGCTTGCTAAACTGCAAAAAGAAAGACTGACCTGGAAAAATAAACGGCCATTGTAAGAACAGGGGGTTCTCTAACCATTTTCAAAGGTGTTTGTCATTCACATCCAAGTCATGATCCACTGCTCCGTGATTTGTAATTTTAAAAAATCTAATAAAATAAAAAGTTTATTGTAAATGTATATTATACTTGGCTGCCTCCTATGTTAGACTGTGGTCATAAGATTTGGCTCTCTTACCCTTTTAAGCAGGTTTTCTAATAAGGTAATTTAATTCTAACATAGTCTACCTGAGCCAAAGAAATTAACACCCTGTCATCAAGTTGAAGGATGCTACAATACACTTTCGCTTCCCATCCAGGAAGCTTTTTTAATTCAAATGTCAGAAATAGCGTTGAGTTTGAGACAAGAAACCAGCGCTGAGTGAAGGCTCTGCTGCTGTCTTAAGCCCAGCACTCTGATTAGAAAGACTATCTTCACCTGTGTAGGCTACCCAGGTTCTGCACAAAGATCCTCTCTGGTAGAGATGCATAACTCGCACTCACTAACACACAGGAACCCAGACATTAAGTGGGAAAAAGGTGCTACTACTCCTCTATTCCAATATGAAAAAAAGAACAAAGCCAGATCTAAATTAAATCCATATAAGCCAAGTTCAAAATGTCATGAATCCACTTTTATCAACTTCAAGGTCAACTTTAAGATTTCAAGATACTCAATATGTTTTCTTTCTGTGAAATATTTATTTTTTCCCAGTATTAGGCCTGGCTTCCACTTCCACTTCCACTTTATACAGTTCATTTTACCTAGCAACAGCATCAAACACTGTGCCTGGAGTATCAAGTACTGAATGAGGCACCAAAAAAGTTGGGCTTGTCAAAATTGTAATTATAGTGATCATAATATTTACATATTTCAAGTGAGCTCCAGGTGTGAATAAGAAGTGAAAAGGGCAGTCATACAGATGGAGATACTTTCACAATGTCCTGAGTTTACAAATCAGAAACAAGCATGATTTCACATGCAGCTATCTTCTACATAACCAATTTTATGCAGATAAATGATCCCATCTTCATCCTTCAAAAAGACAAGGCTAAGCAGGGGAGACGTATAAAATGCTAATCATTGATCACATCATTTATTTATTTGTTTTCTAATTTTATTCCCTCTTAAAATCTGTTTTCTTTGGTAGTTTATTGGTGCAGGATATGTTAAATAATCTAATTTCTCCTGTTATTTATTGCAGCTGTTTTCATCACACTTAAATGAGAAGATATTTTGTAAATATTGACATATTTAGTAAAAATTAACACTGCACATGTTTAAACTGTGGTATCTTCTTAACATCCACCTAATTTTAAGTAATCCTCACCTTTGTGCATAACCAAATAGAAAAGCAAATAACTAAGGAACTGTAAGCCCAAATTACATGTGTGATACATCATTTGAAAGCTAAAATCTTCTATTTTCTGAATATATAACTATGAAATAGAACAATAAAACCATGTGACTAAAAACAGCCTAAACTGCATAATTTCTAACATGAATCAAACTTGTTTTTTTTCTTCTCAAAAATGATAGGTATTTTTTTGAATAGCAGTAACAAAGACATGCTTGAGAACAGGCATGTGTCATTGTTTTATATTTAGA